ACCTCCTTAGGCATGACCATGCACTTCTAAGCATTCTCCAGATTCTCAAGGAATTTGTTTTATTAAATCTGGCAAGAGAGCTTCCATTTGGTCTTTTGTGGTGTGTTTATCAAGACAAGATGGTGATGTGGTAATTCACTTGAGACCCAGTGTCATAAAATTAAAGTCACATTGTGAAATCCATTGCCACCATCAATAAATGCAATTTCCACCAGGCACACAAATGTGAAATCCAAAGGATAGAAGAAAAGGGCAAAATACCCACCTTTGAGTCACCGAAGCTTCTTTCTTTCACCTTTCCAAGGACAGCTGGAAGGAACATGCTCTGTGAAGCACCAGGGTTGAAGGAGAGTTTTCTGTGGCCAGACCAGGGGCCGTTATGTTTGTCCAGCACTTTCTGTCAGAAGCAGCAGCCCCAAGGGCTGCCCAGGTGGAGCCATCCCTAGGGAAAGAGCTTCTGTCTATAGCAAGCAAAGCTCAGGGGAACCTTCTGGTAGCCTCTGCCACATTCTGAGAACCAGGCAGACCCTCTGCCTGAAAACTGCATTCTTTTTTTTTTTTGCCTGACTGCTATGGTTTTGTGTTTTAAAATTTTATGTTTGTGGTAAAACATAAAATAACACGATATTTACCATCATTCCCATTTTAAGTATATAGTTCAGCAGGGTTAAGTATTTTTGCATTATTGTGCAACTAATATCCAGAAATTTTTCATCTAGCGTCTTAGTTCATTCAGGCTGCTATAACAAAATACAATAAACTGGATAGTTTATATAGAAATTTGGGGCAGTGCCTGTGGCTCAGTGGATAGTGCGCCGGTCCCATATACGGAGGGGGGTGGGTTTGAACCAGGCCCTAGCCAAACTGCAACAAAAAAATAGCCAAGCGTTCTGACAGGCACCTATAGTGTCAGTTACTTCGGAGGCTGAGGCAAAAAAATTGCCTAAGCCCAGGAGTTGGAGGCTGCTGTGACCTGTGATGCCACAGCACTCTACCGAGGGTGTTAGGGTTAACTCTAACCCTGCCCCCCCCCCCAAAGAATAGAAATTTGGCCAGGCACAGTGAGTTACATCTATAATCTAGCACTCTGGGAGGACTGGCAAGAGGATCACTTGAGGTCAAGAGTTCAAGACCAGCCTAAGTAAGAGGGAGATCCTGTCCCTACTAAAAATAGAAAAAATTAGCTTGGGCATTGTGGTGGGTGACTGTACTTCCAACTACTCAGGAGGCTAAGGCAGGAGGATTGCTTGAGCCCAGGAGTTTGAGACTGTGGTGAGCTATGATGACCACTACACTCTAGTGAGGGCAACAAGACTCTGTCTCAAAAAAAGAAAAAGAATAGAAATTTATTTATTTATCACAATTCTGGAGGTTGGGGAGCGCAAGATCAAGGCACTTGTAGATTCAGTATCTGGTAAGGGCCTGCCCGCTTTCTGGTCCATAGATTGCTGCTTTTTCACCACATCCTCCCAGGGTGGAAGGGACAAACAAGCTCCCGAATGCCTTTTCTCAGGACATTAATCCCATTCATGAGGGCTTTGCCCTCAGGACCCAATCACCTCCCAAAGATCCACCTATGTTGGTGATTATGTTTCAACATAGGAATTTCAGGGGAATATAAACATTCCGACCATAGCATCCTCCAAATAAACTCTGCACCTATTAAATAACCCCCCATTTCCCCCTCCCAAACCTGGCAACCACTTTTCTACTTTCTGCGCCTGTGAATTTGACCACTCCAGTCTCTGTTTGCTTATTTCCTTCAGCTGTAAAGTGGAGCTAATCATGCTTTCCTAGGTGGGTGTGAAGATTAAGGGACTTAGTCTAGTCCTTGACATATTACGAGTAAGTAATAAATGATCATTGTATATAGCTATTTTATAGCTATTTTTGTTTCTCATCCATGAACATGGACTATTTCTGTGTATTTAGGCATTCTTTAATGACTTTCTATAAAGTTTTGTTAACTTTTCCTCAAAGATTTTACATATCTTTTCTTGATTTTATGCCTGGGAACTTCATATTTTGTTTCAGCAATTGCTTTGGGAACCTAGTTAACAACTTTCTTCGAAAAATGGACTTCTGTGTCTGGTTAGCTCAGGTGGTGAGAGTGTCATGCTGATGATAATGGATCTCATAGTCTTTACTTTCACTTGAATCTGACCTAAAGAGGCTATTCTTTGTTTATTTAACTTTTTATTTGGAAATGAAGTAGGACTTCTATAGTTGACCACCTCCCTACACTGACTGCCTCAAGTTGACATAATTTTAATAGACATACATGTACCACATGTATGTATGAGTACAGTAGGCTTAGTTCCTTATGTTGACCACCAGTATTTGACAAGTTTGTTACAGTCCCTTGGGTGGTCAACTTACAAAAGTTCTACTGTAGTTTAAAACTGACAAAAGAGGCTTGGCGCCTGTGGCTCAAGTGGCTAAGGCGCCAGTCACATACACCTAAGGTGGCAGGTTCAAATCCAACCCGGGCCCGCCAAACAACAATGATGGCTGCAACCAAAAAAATAGCCAGGCATTGTGGCGGGCGCCTGTGGTCCCAGCTACTTGGGAGGCTGAGGCGGGAGACTCACTTGAGCCCAGGAGTTGGAGGTTGCTGTGAGCTGTGATGCCATGGCACTCTACCCAGGGGGACAGCTTGAGGTCCTGTCTCAAAAAAAAAAATCTGACAAAAGACGCCTGGTGAGGTGCCTCACACCTGTAATCCCAGCACTTGGGAGGCTGAGGCAGGTGGGTTGCGGCAGGTAGATTGCCTGAGCTCCGAGTTTGAGATCAGCCTGAGCCAGAGAGAGACCAAAACATAGCCAGGCATTCTGGCAGGTGCCTGTAATCCCAGCTACTCGGGGGACTGAGGCAAGAGAATCGCTTAAGCCCAAGAGTTTGAGGTTGCTGTGAGCTGTGATGCCACAGCACTCTACTGAGGGTGACAAAGTGAGACTCTCTCTCAAAAATCAATCAATCAATAAAACAAATAACATGAAGAACACCTGTGTACATTTTACCCAGATTCAGCAAATATAAACATTTTGCTCCATATACTTCCTACCACTTTATATTTGAGTATATATATGTACACTTGGCATTGTGCACTTTGACTCCTTCAGTGTGTATTTTCTGAGAACAAGCACTCTTTATTTTTATTATTATTTTGAGACATAGTCTCACTTTGCCTGCCACAACACCTGGCTATTTTTTGTTGTTGTTGTAGGTGTCTTGCTCTTTAGTAGGCCTGGGCTGGGTTTGAACCCACCAGCCCTGGTTCATGTGGCCAGTGCCCTAACCACTGAGCTATGGGCGCCAAGCCAAGCATGCTTTCTTCCTTTCTTTCTTTTTTTAGAGAGTCTCACTTTATCGCCCTCGGTAGATGGTGTCGCAGCTCACAGCAACCTCCAAATCCTGGGCTTAGGTGATACTCTTGCCTCAGCCTCCCAAGTAGCTGGGATACAGGCTAGACTGACCACTCTCCCTGATGGGGTTCTGTAGTCCTCCTCCCTCTGAAAAGGGACTACATGCCCCACCCATCCACCCCATGTGCATACAGAGTATCCCACCTTCACCCCAACAGTGCATAACTTGTTCCTTACTATCACTCACACTCATGATTTCTTCATATCTTTTTTTTTTTTTTGAGACAGAGCCTCAAGCTGTCGCCCTGGGTAGAGTGCTATGCCATTACTGCTCACAGCAATGTCCAACTCCTGGGCTTAAGCAATTCTCTTGCCTCAGCCTCCCAAGTAGCTGGGACCACAGACGCCCGCCGCAATGCCTGGCTATTTTTTGGTTGCAGCCATCATTGTTGTTTGGCTGACCTCGGCTGGATTCAAATTGGCTGACCTTGGCTGGATTCGAACCTGCCAGCTCAGGTGTATGTGGCAGGTGCCGTAGCTACATGAGCCACAGGCACCGAGACTCTTCATATTTTTTTTATCTGAAGCCCTCTAAGAAAGTTGGTTCTGTGGCCAGGAGGGATGCAGATGATAAGTAGCTTGTGAGAGGCCCTGACCTCCCATCTCTCCCCAGCATAATCATCCACACAGCTGTGGATAACAAGCTCACAGAGATCCCCTCTCCTCCCCACCTCCCAACTCCTAGGACACCTTCTTTTCCACTAGCTGTCCCTTGGGGGCTTCAGGTAACAGCACACATCTCCCTTCTGGGCCTGGGAGGCAAGAAACCCAGAGGGGAAAGTTTCCCCAGGGATAGGCCACTGAGGTGAGTCTAGAGCCGGAGCTTTCACCAGGTCTCCTCTGCCTCTGGACTGCCCCCCCACCCCCCCACCCCCGTCCATCAGGTCAGAGGGAACTGGGGGAGTAATCTCTTTCATCTGTTTATTTATTTCCCAACAAGTAAACCAGAGGTATTCAAAATAAAAACACCAGCAGGCGTGGTAGCAAAAAAAAAAAAAAAAAAGTCCTGAACATTCCTCCAGAACACACCCTTCCCCCCTCCACCTGCATCCTTTCTACACCTCTGTCCACACAGCTGCCTCTGCCTGAACTGACCTCCCCTCTGACCTCCAGTAAAATTGGGTAGAGGCCCATAAAATTCCTCTTGTCTCCTAATGGATACTGCTTCCTTGTGCTTGTAGTTGGAATGAGTTCCCTGCTATCCCTGATCTAATCCTCCTACTACCCTCCTTTCAATCAAGGCTTTTCTCCTGTCTCTCCCATAGACCTGAGACAGCTGTCAGTTCCCACACAGGGCAGGAGGGCAGGGCTAGCAAATGTGGACATGTAGGGTGGGAGGAGGACCAAGCTGGGTGCATGCTTTGCAAACTTCAATGAGAATATGAATCACTTGGGGATTTCCAAGCTAAAAAATGGGTCCTGATAACGGCTGAAGTTTGCAGCTCTAACGAGCTTCCAGGTGGTGTTGCTAATGCTGCTGGACTGGGAAAGGCAGCAGGTGGGCACCCAGGTGGGCACGGCATCCCAGGGGTATAAGATGGCTGAGTGGCGGCTGCCTACTACTTTGCAGGCACCATGGAGCTGAGCTATGGGCTCGTCATCTGTTTCCTGCTCTGGGGCGGCACAGAGCTATGCTACCCCCAGCCCCTCTGGTTCTTGCAGGGGAGACCCGACCATCCTACACCATCTGCCCTACCTGTCGTGGTGGAGTGTCTAGAGGCCCAGCTGTTGGTTACAGTCAGGAAAGACCTCTTCGGTACCGGAAAGCTCATCAGGCCTGCTGACCTCACCCTGGGCCCTGAGGGCTGCCAACCACTGGCCTCCATGGACACGGATGATGTGGTCAGATTCCAGGTTGGACTACATGAGTGTGGCAACAGCCTACAGGTAAGGCCCTGGGGGTTGGTGGAAGGATGTACTAGGTAGCAACAGAGCCCATGGGAGGTGGGGAGGTGCCATGGGTAAAACCTACAGTGGGAATTGGAGACCTGGCTGGGGACAGCTCCTGTTGTTGGTTGCTGAAATTGGGCAGGTGAGAGGAATCCTGAGGTTGCAGTATGCATTGGGTCAGGTACTCCCACTCTGACTCCTGTTAGTTAAGGACACACTGGCATGGGTGATGGGACAGACCTGGCGGTATCCCAACCACTTGCTTGGGGGCATTAGAAATTAGCTCAGAAGTAACCACTATAGGAAAAGTCCTAGAACTTTTACCTCACTCACGTTCAATGGCTTGATGCTTTTATTAAAAGTAGAATTGGGGCCAGCCACATATACCTAAGGTCGAGGGTTTGAATCCAGCCCAGGCCTGCCAAACAATAATGATGGCTGCAACCAAAAAATAGCCAGGCATTGTGGCGGGTGCCTGTGATCCCAGCTATTTGGGAGGCTGAGGCAGGAGACTCGCTTGAGCCCAGGAGTTGGAGGCTGTTGTGAGGTGTGATGCCACAGCACTCTACCCAGGGGGGCAGCTTGGGTCTCTGTCTCAAAAAAAAAAGTAGAATTGGGGGGTACACAATGGTAACCTTTGTGATGCAGACCTTCAGTTGAGTTCCTGAGGGTTAATTCCAAGGGGGAATAACCTAGGGTGGGAGGCAGGTGCCTTGGTCAATCCAGGCAAGGCTCCCTCCTCCAAGCCAGTGGGATGCAGATACTCAAACTAACAGGGCCTTATAGAAGGCCTGGACACATAGCCACCATGGCTAGTTCCTGAGCCCTTGGACCGAGTTCCTGTTGCCCTATGGAGAGTCTATCCTCTCCTCCAATGTAGGCTCAGTAGCTTCCTCCTGCTGGAGTTGTGATCTTAGGTGTGGTGCCCTGAGTTCACCTTGAATTCAGGGCTCTTTTTTCTCTGCGGCTGGGAGCCAGAAAGCTGGAGGAATTATCTGAGGGAGTCTAGCTTAGTAACTCCTAAACCTTATATGTTAGAGTCATCTGGATAACTTCTACAAATTCCTGAGCGCTGGCTGGGCCCAGTGTGGGTAATTTTAGCACTCTAGGAGGCTGAGGCAGGAGGATCACATAAACTCAGTAGTTTCAGACCAGCCTAAGCAAAATCGAGACCCCTACCTCTACTAAAAATAGAAAAACTAGCTGGGCATTATGGTGTATGCCTGTAGTCCTAGCTACTCAAGAGGCTGAGGCAGGAGGATCACTTAAGTCCGGGAGTTTGGGGTTGCAGTGAACTATGATGCTACTTTACTCTGTGGGGTAACAGAGTGAGACTTGATCAAAAAATAAAAAAACTGGAGGGCGCCCATAGCACAGTGGTTACAGCACCAGCCACATACACTGAGGGTGGCAGGTTTGAGCCCAGACCAGCTGAAACAATTGCAACAACAAAAATAAATAAATCTGGGCTTAGCACCATCCATATATGGAGGCTGGTGGTTTTGAAGCCGACCTGGGCCAGCTAAACAATGACAACTGCAACAAAAAAAGCCACAAGTTGTGGCAGGCGCCTGTAGTCCAGCTACCTGGGAGACTGAGGCAAGATAATCTTTAAAGCCCAAGAGTTAGAGGTTGCTGTGAGCTGTGATGTTAAGGCACTCTACTGAGGGTGATATAAGACTCTCAGAAAAAAAAAAAAATCCTGGCTTGGCGCCTGTGGCTCAAGCGGCTGGGGCGCCAGCTACATACACCTGAGCTGGCGGGTTCGAATCC